GTATTGTGTAATCCCATAGAATTGTAACAGGTCCTATCTCCGTAACCGGGTCTGGGTGGTGTTCATACCAGTTTCCTTCCCATAGAAGTTGCAGATTTTCCAGTGCAGATATTGGCCCACTCAGTCATGCCGGGTTTTATACTCAGTAGGTGCCAATATCATGCAACCTGATACAAGATTATTATTATTATTATTACATAGGCGCGTTGCCGAGCGGTTAGAATTTGTGATTAAGTTGGCGCGAAGCCCCAAGTCATCGTGACTGAGGTTTTACTGATCACACTAGATGATGTCTCCCTCCCAGACCGACTCAGCAGAGTTGCAGTATAAACCACATGTAGGCTCAGTGGGTGCTGAACAAACGGTCAGCCATTATTTATTATTACATATTTAATTACGGGCTCGTGACCGAATTAGAACGTTAGCATTTCGAGCATAAGACGCTGGTTCAAGTCTCACTATGATCGATTTCTTAGGTCAGGGTGGCAGAAAAAGATGCCAGTTGGGAAGGGTTTGAAATCTATACCAAACATTGTGAGTGAAATTGGACAGACAAAATTTCAGAAGCTGTCGATGCTTGACTGGAGGTTTGGCTTACTGATCATAATCAACTGCAGATCACGTCAAATATTGCGTTCTCTCCCAAAACCGTGGCTAATGTTCGCTCAGCTTAGTTGCATTATAAACCAGGGCTGGCTCTGTGGGCTTTGAAGAAAAATAAATGTACCTGAGAGAGCGTCTGCAATAAGGATTAGGTATCTATTGTGGCAGACAGGTGTACTCGGATATCAATCATTAATATAAATCCATATAATACATAAGTATCATATTATTTGAGCTGATATCTTTGTTATCGTCACAATATTTCGACTGTATTCTTTTGGCAATTCTGTTCTGAGCTCTTCATTCAATGCACGAAACTAGAATGGATTTGGTTCGAAATTTCGAGAAACTATACCGAATAAAATACGCACCTGAAAAAAAACGGCATATTTGAATGTAGCTATAACAAGTGAGATGAGAATTTCATTTCGATTAAATCAGTGTATCAACAAAAATATAAGAAGGGTGACTTTTGACCATAGTTAATATTAAAATGTATAAAAATATCAATCGATGTTTGTAACAATAAATAATGATTTTCCTGCATTCGTAAGTATATTTTATTTAATATTCTATTCTTAAATTGCAATTATATGCAATTGGATTACTTTGTGTCTTGCTAAGGTATTTTAATTCTTTGATTTTAAAAAATGCCACCTTCCTTTAGGACGCAGGCGATCACAACTCTGCAGATTCATGTTTTTCTTATCTGCGAATTGCCAGAATTGTTGGGAAAGATATTGGAGTAGTTCCCTCTTGCCCTCTCCACGGCTTGGAATTAAAAGTTTTTCTTCTCCTAGATTGGTTGCCACGAAATTCTGAACGGTTCAGTCTACTCTGTTATTTAACCTATAATTTGGGGTGGGGGCAAATAGACGAATTCATGCTTTTCCTAACCTTATTTGTGCGTAAGTGAACATAATATATAATAGGATTAGATAGGTTCTCCTATCGTCCGGTTCACACTCCTCTCGGTCTTTTGAATCGTATTAGAGATTTTTCCTTTGTTTTAGTTTGGGTTTCCGCTTCCTTCTAAAGTCTACATTCCCGCTATATTTTTTACGCCTCCGACTGAACTCTGAAATGTTATTAACTAATTAAATCTTGACCTCTTTAAGTCAAGAGTTAGCTGTTAGCTATCCTGCATAGCCTCGAGAACTTGCCTTTACTTACGCTAGTACAACACCACACGGTAAGCCTCTACCTTGAGTGGCTCTTGGGCGTTCTATTTGGTGAACATTAGTAAAAGAAAACAAGAAAAACAGGCTAAACCAGAATTTGAAGACGTCTCGGCAATTCCAATTTCTTCGTCAATATCCCTTACAATACCCGCACATCCTTTTGTAATAGACGCTAAAAGAATATCCGTCCTGGGCATGATGATAAACTACATCCGGCAGCAAGGCTTGTGATTGGAGGTTTTGAGGAACGTGGAACCACCTCTAAATTGCTGTAGTTTCTCAGGTCCACCCTGGCCCGGGTTGGTAGTACCTGTTAGGACCCAAGGTATGAGCAGATAGTTTGGGTTCAAAAACTATAGCAGGATAAAAATAGATTTTTATAGTAAAAATACCAGCAATACATTTTTGAAAAAAAAAATATTACCTGCAATAGAATTTTGAAAAAATAAAAATATTACCAGTAATAGATCTTTGAAAAAAAAATTATTACCAACAATACATTTGACGCTCGACAAAAACCCTCTTGACAAAAATCCGTCAGTGAAACCTGATCTACAAACTGATTTCTTACAAAAAATACATATTTTATTCATAAAAATCCTGCCAGTATTAAATAACCCATTGAGGTGTTAATATGCCGTAAAACAAAATAAACCAAACTAAATCTAAAAGAAAATCGCGTTATGAAATTAATTGTGTCATCAGGTGAAAGACAATGCAATAAAGACAGAATTATAAATAAAAGTGAAAAAATAAAATAAAAAAAAACAACCAAAAAAAAAAAAGTGACCTGTCACTTTCTGATTAAAATGACAGCTGACATTTTCGTAATTCCAGCTTCGGCTGTTCGAGAGATGAATAATGTTTGGCGGCGATAAATGTATAAAATGTGTTATTTTATTTCAAGTGAAACTGTGTCATTTTAAAATTACCTAAATTGCAATGACATAACGTTGTATTTCTGGATCTGGTTTAATTATTATGCTTCTTTGATATTCAGGCTCTAAAAGTCAAGTCATGTTAGGGAATGAAATGAGTTCGTCATCAGGTGAAAAACAATATAAACAATCAAAAAGACCTTCTGCCTGAATCTCTGGAATGAAGAGTTACCATTATTTACACCAGAGGTCGGCAACCTTTTGTTGACTATTTGCCGACTTAGGGTTTTAAACTCATTCAGTGGACCAACAGTATACGTATTTTTATACAAGACAAGGTCAATATACCTGTTCTACAAGATATTTTATATGGTAATATATAGTATATATATTTTAGTATATACAGTGTAATCCGGATATAAGAGACTCGGATATAAGAGAAACCCGGATATAAGAGAGATTTTCTCTGGTCCCAAATTAGAGCCTGTGTTAATGTATACATATAGACCAAACCCGGATATAAGAGAAACCCGGATATAAGAGAAACCCGGATATAAGAGACTTCTTCTCCGGTCCCGACAACTCTCTTATATCCGGGTTACACTGTATTAAAATTGAAACAGCTAAATATCTTCTTTGTGTTGTAGTAGTTATTGGTTCGGACTTTGTGATGTCATTTCAGTCTGCCAACAGCATACGTATTTTTATACAAGTCGAGATCAATATGCCTGTTCTATATTTTATATAGTAATATATAATATATATACTTTAGTATATATTAAAATTGAAACAGCTAATTATCTGTAGTAGTTATTGGACCGGACTTTGTTGTGTCATTTGCGGCTGCGTGCCATTGGAAATAGCTTGGCGTGCCACGCGTGCCGTAGGTTGCCAACCCCGGTTATCTGCTGATCACCGAAGTTAAGCAACGTCGAGCCTGGTCAATACTTGGATGTCGAGGTAGAGGTTTACAGAGAAAGAGGTACATTTAATGAAGATATGAGCTGAATATAACAATTTACCCTAGGCTTGAACAGGTTAAGAATGTCGTGATCGGGGAAGCATCCTCCTAGGAGTCAGTTCCACAATGCAGCGGTTTGTGGGAAGAGGAACGTACATCTCACCAATGCATTACGAAGAGAATGAGGGTGAATCGCTACAATGGGCGTGGCAAGGCGAGTTTTAGCCGTGAAGGTTAGAACTGGTGGGACTAAGGAATGTAGCTCATCTGAGCACTTTCCATGGAACTAGCGATAGTGCAGCGAGAGGCTTCCGACGTTTCGTCTGTGAGGATTGCAAGATGGAAAATAATTCATCGTCCACTATCGAGACTACACTGGCCAGCTTCTGTTCGTATATGGAAAGAGTATTCTCTTTTCGGCTTGATCTGGCTCTTGTAAAGGTAGAGGACAACAGGAAGAGTCAGGTACTTGATGAATTTTTTCCAGCATCTTTACGAGTTTCACGGCATGGATTGAGTTAAAGTCCGAATAGGCGGCCATAGCTTGGGTTTCCCTTAGGGAACAACCGTTCATCGCGATCGGTAAAAGTTCTGGGACTGCTGGGTGAATAGAACGTCACTAGGTCTGCTAGGTGAATAGAACGGAACGAGAACAATGGTCTGGTGGATTAAAACGTTGTTTTGTTGAACTAGTAATTGTGAGTTCAATCCTTGGATCAGGCAGTGTGTAGTTGTACTTAGTGGAAACGGTCGAGCAATCACTGACCAGTGCTAAATAAAAATAAGAACTAGACCAGCGCTTCTTAAACTATGGGTCGCAACCCCAAATGAGGTCGCGACCACAAATGAGGTCGCAACCCAAATGAGGAAGCGAAATTCTGGGGTCGCGAAAATGAAATTCAAGCCCTTGAATTTCAGTTTCTATTTTATTTCACGAACGTAAAATATTTAACATGATGCGCCAAGTGCAGTGACAACGGATGTATTTTCCCGTCTAGTTGATTAATACCTGGGATCGCGAAAAATCCCGTCATGAAAAATGGGATCATGAATTAAAAAAAAAGTTTAAGAAGCGCTGAACTAGACGATATCTCTAGACGTGAGCAGTGGAACAAGAACAGTCTACTTCCGCAGATGACATATTTATGTCATCTGCCGGAGTAGACTGTTCTCGTTCCAGAATCCCCCTGTCCAGGATTCTCCTGGAGGTTACCTAGATCGATATACATCTGAGGAATGGCGGAGGGTACACCGGCCGATAACGACAAAGATTGAGTCGGCCGGTGTAGCCTTCTAAACTTCGGCGATCGTACGCGAACCGATTTTTCAACGTGAATGTGGCCGTAAGTCCCTTAAGCCAACCGCACATCCAAGCGCACATCACTTGGTATTCCCAGGCGGTCACCCATCTAGGAATTGAGCAGGCTCAAAGTTGCTTAACTTTGTTGATTGTACGCAAACCGGCGTTTCAACGTGAATGTGGCCGTAAGCTGGTTATACCACCCGTATTATACTGCAGGGAATTTTGGATTCATGCCTTTCCCAAGCGAATTAATGTACTCGGGATATAAGTTACATTCATGAAATAGTTACATTCAGGATGAGAATTTGATGTCTACATTTTGTTCTTCATGTGATTATAAGCCATTATAAGAGATTGCATTCTCTTTGAAGTAATGTATATACAAGACATCTTAATTGTTGGAAAGAAAATAAGACAGAAGGCGGCTAATAAAATTCGTTTTAATCATGGCAAATTAATTATAGGCAAGCATTAAGGTACCATTCGTGTTAGACGAGATCTTAAGAATGTAAAGCGACCTGGGCGTTGAGAGAAAAAGCAACGAAAAGAAGACGCGGGATATCCAAGTGGGAATAAAGAAAAAAATAATAGCAATATTGGGTTGGTGCATAATTATTAGGCGTTTTTGTAAGCGACATTTGTTAATAAAAATTGCTCTTTTGTTTACTTTTTTAAATAAAAATATAATTTTATTTTTATGTTATAAAAATGCGTGTCGATAATTATACGTTCCTGAATAATCATTTAAAAATATTATTGTTGAATTGTTATGTTTCGTTTTTCATAATAAATATTGTTTAAAAACGTCTGATAATTATGCACCAACACAACAGCCGTGAAAATTTCATGTTTTTTTTTCTATTTGAATTTTCTGATGAATCTTAATTCTTAAGTTAATTATTGAATAAACTCATGGCGAGTTCTATGAAAATAAAATATCCGTAGAAATTCCTCTACCGCATGGTTAAATATTTGAGCTTAACAACTTTAACCAAATATGGCAATAACAACTTTCTGTGGGATTATTCATATTATAAATATGAATGCTGATTGTTATTTTATTAACTGGTTTATTAAATTAAAAGATCTGTAATAGACAACTTTTCCCATCTCAGTGAAATAGCCGCTAAACACTTCTATCTTACCTTCTTTCTTTCTTTCTTTCTTTCTTTCTTTCTTTCTTTCTTTCTTTCTTTCTTTCTTTTCCTCACTGAAACCAAGTAGTGTCTTCCCTCTTCTTTCCACGCGATCAAAACGGAATAGTCCATTATTCGGTATGAGGAATTAGCAAAGCGTAACGGTCGTGCGAACTAACGCGTGGAGCTACAAGCACAATTACAATAGGATAATAATCTTGTAATCCTGCGTGTCCCTTCTTCCCTTATACGTCCAAATCACGTTGAATCGCCGGTTATCGTCCGATCACCGAAGTTAGGGAATGTCGAACATGGTCAATAACTAGATGGGTGACCGCTTGGGAATACCAGGTGCTGTAAGCTTGGATTTGCGTGGATGGTGCAATGTATAATGTTCCGGGGATTGTTAATCGGAGAACCGAGTTCCAATTCCTGTGGCGTTCGTTATATTCACTTACACACAAATACACTTGAAAAAGGTATGAATCCACCTCTTCTCCCCCAGCTATGGATTAATTAGTAAGGATTGTATCACTAAATCATTATTATCTAAAACAAAATATTCGTACAGTCTAAAAATATTCGTTCAATTTCTTTCTCTATTTTTCTTTTCTGGGAGACTACGTTTTTTATTTTGATGCTTAATTTTTTGGTTGCTGCTATTGCTGATGTATATATTGTTTCGTTGAGATCTATATGTGGGTCTATTTATATCCAGAATTAATTTGAGTGCTGCACTGTAAAGTTTAATATTTCTGGAGTTCTGCTTTGTTGGTTGCAATTTTGGGAGTTGTTCTCGTTCCGCCATTTCCATATTTTGTGTCTGACTTTTATGTCTCATAATTTCTTCTTTGGTTTCTTGTATAGTATTCTTATTCCCGTAAAATAATTCGGTTCAATGTGTTTTGGACTCATTTTATTGCAGGCCCGTGAGCAACTAAGATCCGGCCTTACCAACTCTTCTAAACTTTCAACATTATCTTCACAAGCTGTGTATATCAGTTTCTTCATTATGATCTCTAGTTTGTCCGATATTAATACTCTTTATGTCCGTTTCCGGTTCCCTTTCGTGTTCTCTTGATACACGTATTCTGGTTGCAGTTCTTTTTATTTCTTTAATTTCAACATCTGTCAGTTGGTTATTTCTCATGATGAGACACGGTGGAGTAATAGATTGAGAAAATGGAGAGCCGAGTTCAAATTCCAGTCAAATCCATTACATTCACTTACGTGCTAATACCCTTGGGAAAGGTATAAATCCTCTTCGTATCCCCCCCCAACTATGGGTAAATAGATCAGGTTCTATAGCCTTGGATGGCAACTGGTATACCGCAGTAAGAAATGGCAACCTACTGCGGGAAAAAAATCTGCCTCGTCAGTCATGTATCGAAAGATACATGATCGCCTAAGCGTGTATCCCGCATGGCACATAACTGACTGACCTATTTACATTGGCTATTTCATTTTAGTCAATGTACATCATCATTGCTTGTCAAACCTTTTCTCGTCAAATGTCATATGATTGTCGGGTGATGTTTTTCTGAGGTTTGTGTAAGCTTCATAGAATGCAGTCATAACTGGTTTGTACTCCGCACGAGACCATTTTACCATTCCTTTCTTTAAATGGTTTGGATCTAGTTAAAGAATTCGCAGGAGCATCATTGGGATTATCCCGGTCGTGGAGACTTGAAGATTCATTATTTGTGTAAAAGTTTGTTCCTTTTTTTTTTTTTCGACCTCAGATATGTTCCCCTTGAGGTACGGGTTCCCTGTATCCCATTGAAGAGCTATACTGGACATTTTCGTTGGACGTTTAGTTCTCATATTGTTCTCATCAGTAGCGGATAGAGTACTAAGAGTACTTAGTGGAAACGGTCGAGCAATCACTGACCAGTGCTAAATAAAGTTTCCGGAATAAATGGCGGAACGAGAACAACTCCCAAAGTTTCCCGGCACATTTGGTAACGATCTTTAAACTTATCGTTGTAACCCAGGGAAGGCTACATAATAGAATAATCACACAAAGGCTGATAATGAACGATAATATTAAGGAGAAGAACAACACATATAAGATTCGCCAGAGGCGCGTAGAAGTAGTAGTCAACTGCTACAAGTGAATTCCTCAATGAATCTTCAACTGCAGGATGTCTTCCAAGAGCCCCACGCGGTCAGATGTGGCACAAGGCCGAATTTAATGTGGGGTATCAGAGCAAGTAAGCTCAGCCAAAAATTCCCCGTAGACTCCGTATAAAACGGGGTCGGGTAGCTCTTTCCCGAAACGAGACTCTGCCCTTCGACAGAGCCTCGTCTGGAGTTCCTCTCTGCACGGGGGCAGAGAGTTTGATCAGCACAGCTGGAGACGAATCTCCAACTACAGACTACATACTACTACTGTATTTATATGAATGAAGACATACCCATTATCGTCCGTAGGTATGCTACAACACTTATTATTATCATTATTAGTATTATTATTATTGTCATTATCATTATTAATATCATCTCCATTATTATTATTATCATCATCAATGTCATAATTATTATTATTATTATTATCAACATTATTATTATTATTAAGCTGATGTCGAACAGTGTTCTTAATTATCCATTTTTTTTCAAGGGCCTTTGTCAGAGAGATCCAGTTTCCTTCCCAAAGTTCTGCAGAAAAGATGATTGCAAAAAAATAAGAAAATGAATTCAGAAGCATATTTTCACTGCTTGGTTTCGCTTTCTATGTATAAGTATTTGTGCCCGTGCAATTAATCACCAGAAAAAAAAAAAAAAAAAAAATGGCTGAAAAGTAATATATGCGCATTCCTGCCTATAGCTCTTCCTTCTTGTACAGTATCGTCCAGAAAAAAAGACACCTGACTGCTTTTATTTATTTATTTCTAAAAAGTTAATTTTCTTCTAAATAAAACATACCAAGACTTTATTTCTAGCGGAACATAAGACAATCAAAACGGCTTTATAGTAATATTTATTAACAAACTGAAAGCAAAGTAATTAGAAACAGAAAGAGTGTTGAACTGTTACGTAATGTCACTAATCCAATATGGCAGCGAATGCTAGACAATTTCCTCAGCGACTTCAATCAACAGAAATGTGGTTCTACAGAAAGATTCTGAGAATACATTAACAAGGACGAGGGTTTAGAGAAAAAGGGAACTTATACTTAATATCAGGAAGAACCAGTTGAAATTTCTAGGGCACATAATTAAGAAAGAGGGCTTAGAAAACATAATACTCACAGGACAGATTGAAGACAAGGTGTCAGTGGAAAACAACGCATAACCAACCTAAAAAGTTTGTGTAAATGAATGTCAGAATAGGCTTTAGGTGAGATAACAAAAAAAGACAAAATTTATTAAGAGGTACAAAGGACAGGAAATTACGGATAGCCATAATAGATAGATAGATAGATAGATAGATAGATAGATAGATAGATAGATAGATAGATACGGAGATTACGAGTATGGGAAGAGATGAATAGATTGAGATAAATACACTGTGATAGATAGAAAGAGAGACATTATGTAGATAGATAGATAGATAGATAGATAGATAGATAGATAGATAGATAGATAGGCATGTACATGTTACACGTAACCATAAGATCTATGCTAGCAATTTGTTTTCTCGTATTTCTCGCTTGTAGAACGCGCTTCCGGCCTCCTGCTTTTCTGCCAACTTGATCTTCAAAAATTTAAATGCACCGTCAATCGACGTCATCTATTTTTATAGCCCTGTTGTTTTATTTTCCTTTCTCCTTAGTGTCTTTATCTCTTTGCTTGGGGTGAAATGATAAACATTTCGCATTCATTGACCGAGCAGCCAGTACTGCTTACGGTTGAAACTGATAAAATCTTTCTCTTAAAACAATTTTTCAGGAAAATTCAAGTTCTGTTCAAGCAATAAACTACAAGAAAACAGAATGCATGGTTATCAGCAAAAGGATGAGGCCGAGATGCAATTTATAAATCGGGGATACTAAAATCAAACAAGAACAAATATTTAAATATCTGGGGAGTGTTCTAACAGAGGACGAAA